AATATTTCCAAAATAATTTCACAAATCAATTTTCAACCGCACAAGAATGTTCCAAATTTTAATTTGGAGATTGAGAACTATTTTTGGCCTAGTAAATATTCGAATTGGAAAATATCTATAAAAGTTGTAGCACTTTGAGTTATCTTTTCAACTCACTTTGAATCGCCTTAATCGGACATCAGAAGATAAAGTTATGACAAAAACACCTAAAAAGCGCAGAGTGGGAGTAGCAGATGGCACCTCAACAACACCGAGTGGGCTCTTAGCTCTGGAAAAAGACCAGAATCGTGGCATCGCGATGCCACTACATGGCGTCTAGGCGCTGTCCACCACCAAACAATAGGGTTTTCAAGTGCAATTCATCTTTTTAAAAATTCAAAGAAGACATAAATACAACTCTAGATCCACATAATTTGGGAGAGAGAAAAATGCATAATCATCAAGATCTAAGAGCAAAAGCTAAGATTTGAAGACTTTTGAGACTGAAGAGAGTTCTTGGTGCAAGATCCAATTATTTCCTCAATCAAGATTTCGAAATCTAGTTTTGAACTCTATACTTTTTATTTTTTTTTCATTACATTCATATCTAGGGCAAATGATACAATCTACGTGTAACCATTTATTTCTTTTATTCAAAATTCTAGTTCTTTAAATGCACATGTTAATTTTATTCAAGAATTTAATATTTTGAATTATTTGGCCAATTATTCAATGATTTTGTAAATCTATTACGAATTGAGAGATGAGTTTTAAATTTAAACCACAAAATAAAATTCTGTAATTTAGTATAACGTATAGAGATACATATACTAATTATTGTGATCATTAGATGAATTCTTAGAAAAAATATTTCGTCGAACATAGAGATATGTAATTGAATTAGTTAAATAAATTTAATGAGAACTTTAGGGGGGTAAATTGAATACTTTGGAAGACTCCATGGGTAAAATTGTAAGTCCTAGCATCCACATTCTTACTTCTAAAATCCAACTTTGATAAATTGTGTAGGTAGAAAATTTAGTTTAGTTAGAATAATTAGACACCAATCACAAACTTTATTATCAGTTTTCGATCAAATTAAAGTTAACAATAATTTAACCAATTGTTAGATAATAGTATTCGTGAGAACGATATCCAGACTCATTGATCCATTATATTACTTGTTATAATCCGTACACTTGCGGGATAATAAAAATCGACAACAACAATTGGGTGAAAGTGATGGATTAGCCACGAAGATTCCAAGCAACTACTTAAATTGGTTACAATTAATTTTAGTACCTATAAAGGTCTATAAGTTGGTCGGTCTGACTTATAATTTAAGCATATGATATTTGGATTTTCCTTACATTGGATAAAACATGTTAGCATCCGGAATTCTCTGTTACATCTCTTGGCCTATAAATATTCTAATTATGCTATATGTGCACTTTAGTTTACGCTTTGATTTATACTCTATCATGTGGCATGATTTATATCATTGATTTTAAAAATAAATATTCACATCATTGCACAGATTACCTCCACATAAGGGGCATATCATTGAGGAGGTACACAAAAGTGTACATCTAGCAAAATTCTAAGAGCCTGTTTGATAGGAATTTTTGGGGGAAAAATTGATTTTTGAATAGTGATATGATGGGAAATGTGTGGTTGAAAAAGAAGAAAAAATTATTGATGTGATGGAAAATATTATTTTATTACAGAATGTGTGGTTGAAAATGAAAAATGATTTNGGAAATGTGTGGTTGAAAAAGAAGAAAAAATTATTGATGTGATGGAAAATATTATTTTATTGAAAAATGTGTGGTTGAAAATGAGAATTGATTTACTGTATAAAATCAAAATCCATACCAAACATGCTCTAAATATTCAAACTTGGTGTCGTTTTGAAAGTAATGAATTTTAGGTAATCTAAACCCGACTCCAACATTTTTTTTCTTCATGTTTCTCGTACATTAATTCATCTTCTATTTATTGGCTTGAACGTCAGAGTGCATACGATCACTACCTCTCTTGCCTTGCTTGGAAAAGTCTCAATATGTGCCTCTAAAACATGTCAAGTATACAAATAACATAAATGTGAAGGAGAGGATACAAGATATGTTGGGAATTGAGTCCCGACTAATTTAGAAATCAATGTTGTCCGCAATCAAACAAAACAATTTATCACTTAATACATTTGTGCCTTTGCTAAAGGTTAAAACCTTCGAATCTAAGAAACCCCCCAAATCAACCCAGAACACTTTCTTCTTTTTAAAAGCAGATATATAAATCAAACCAGAACACTTTCTTCTTTTTAAAAGCAGATATAGTCACCCGTTTGATTTGATGGGCTAACGAAGGGTTTTCTCTCTAGGTTTTTTTTTTGATTTTTTTCTTCCCCTTTAATTTGTCTCCAATTGAGCCAAATCACACGAGTTTGAGTGAAATTTTTAGATTGTTATGAAATTTAGTCACTGATTTGTCTACTCAAAAAATCCTACTTATTTTCAACTATATATTTTGTTACATTTTTGAACATGACCGAATCTACATATTAAGAAGGTGTTGGTAGGGATTAACGTTAAATTTTTAGTAAATCTTTCTATTATAAAAAGTGTCTATTTAACGGAATTTGTTGGTTTAACGAAAAAACTAACGGAATTTGTTGTTTTAACGGATTATGTAACGGAATTTCTTGTTTTAAACAGGCAGCTGCACCTTCTTTCAGTGTTTTTATCATAACTTTGTATT